TGCATCGGCGATGCATCGGCGATGCACTGGCGATGCATCGTCGACGTGGGCGATGCATCGGCGGCGTCGACGTGAAGCCAGTCGGGCTCCACATCGAGCCGCATCGGCGATGCATCGGCGATGCGGCGCGACTCTCCGACCCCATCTACTCCGACACATCCAGGAGGCCTAGACCCGCGCCGCCCCAGGCGAGAGGAGGAGGGGGGGGAGGCGGAGGAGAGGGGGGGAGGAGGAGGAGGTGGAGAGAGGAGGGTGAGGAGGAGGGGGAGGAGGAGGGAGGAGGAGGAGGAGAGGAGGAGGAGGAGGGGGAGGAGGGGAAGGAGGAGGGGGAGGGGAGGAGGAGGGAGGAGGAGGAGGAGGAGGAGGAGGAGGAGGAGGAGGAGGGAGGAGGGGGGGGAGGAGGAGGGGGAGAGGGGGAGGAGGAGGACCCCATCTACTCAGGGCCTCCGCTGCACCGCGCGAGGCCTCCCCGGGGACCCACGCGGAGCGCCTCCGCCGGCTTGGGGGTGCGCTCGGAGGCGGCGGGGCGGTCGGAGCGAGGAGCGGCCCCGGCCTCGGCACTGGGCCTCGGCCTCGGTTCGCGCCGCGCGGGCGGAGCGCGCCGAGTTATATCTATATATATATATAAATATACACATACATACATACATACATACATACATACATGCATGCATGCATGCATGCATGCATACATACATACATACATACATACATACATACCTGCCTACCTACCTACCTACCTACATGCATACATACATACATACATACATACATACATACATACATACATACATACACACATTCATACATACATGCATGCATACATACATACATACATACATACATACACACATACATACATACATACATACATACATACATACATGCATGCATGCATGCATACATGCATACATGCATACATACATACATACACACACACATACATACATGTACATACAAATATATATATATATATATATATATATATATACAGACATGCATACAGATTTGTGTGTATATATATATATATATATATATATATATGTATGGGCCGAGGCCGGGGCCGAGTCGGGCAGGGAACTCTCCGTGGGCCTCGCGGTGCCTCGCGGGCCGTCACGTGGCGTGTCCCGTGGGCGTGTCCCGCGGATGGCCCCGCGGGCTGTCCCGTGGTTGTCCCTCGGTTGTCTCGTGCGCTGCCCCATGGCTGTTCTGAGGAATGGTCCGAGGGTTGTTGTGTGGGTTGGCCCGTGGGTCGTCTCTCGGATTGTCCCATGGGTTGCCCCACGGGTCTTCTCGTGGCTTGTCCCGTGGCGTGTCCCGTGGGTTGCTTCGTGGTTGTCCCGCGAGTTGTCCAGTGGCTGTCCCGCGGTCTGTCCCGTGCTTGTCACGACTGAAACACAAAACAAAATGCGAGTGCAATTGCAACGAATATGCATACCATCATTCATGAACGACATTACACAGAAATGCGCGTCAACATACACATCGAAATGCAACCCGATATGCAAGTCGAAACGTAGTCAGTTGCAAACGAAATCAACATCGGCATGCACTTCGACCTGCATATGGAAATAACAACGGCCATGTAATTATATGCACATTCACTTCGGAACGCAAGCGGCAACAAACATCGAAACCAACATACAAAAACAATCGAAATTAAAGTCGGAACGCAAACATTGCTGAACATCGAAACCAACGTACAAGCGCAATCGGAATTCAAGTCGAAACGCACATCAACATCAATACCGACATACGCATCGAAAGATACGTCGAAACATCAAGCACACTGCACATCGAAATGCATTTCGAATTGCAATCGATCTGCGCATCAACATGCAGTCGACATGCAACGTGCAATGCCAATCAAGGTGCAAGTCCGACTGCTATCGAACAGCACACCGAAATGCAAGGCGACTGCAAGCTGAAACGCGCACCAGAATGCAAGTCGAAATGGGAGCCAGAGTGCAAGTCGAAGGGAGCACCGAGATGCAAATCTGACTGCACACCGCAATTCAAATCGAAGACTTCGCCGACTCCCACTTGTCGGCGGTGAGAGGGCGCGAGGAGCACTTGGCTGTCATCTTCCCCCTTTTCCCCTCCCCTGGGCAGGGGAGCCCATAATCGAGTCGACAAGTCGGATCGGCGATCGACATGAATCGGATCGAAGGAGAGGAGGGCCGACGAGCGCACCGGCGCAGGCCCTGGGCCCGCAAAGACTCCCAGTCCACCCTCCGCGGCCTCCTCCTCCTCCTCCTCCTCCTCCTCCTCCTCCTCCTCCTCCTCCTCCTCCTCCTCCTCCTCCTCCTCCTCCTGCTCCTCCTCCTCCTCCTCCTCCTCCTCCTCCTCCTCCGCCTCCGCCTCCGCCTCCGCCTCCTCCTCCTCACGCGATGAGCCCTGGCCTCCTCCCCGTGGCTGGCCCCTTCGAGACGGCTCACGAAGGGCCCGAACGCGGGCCCGAACGCGCCGGAGAGGCTTCGAGACCATCCAAGCCTGCCTCGGGGCGGCCCAGGAGACCTCGAGGACGCCCAGAGTTGGCCCAGGAGGACCCTCAGGACGGCCTCGAGATGCAAAAGTCACTGAGGTCCATGAGTTCGCACATGGTTCTCGCATTCTCGCCATTTCTGCTTTCTGAAAGCCCGAAACGGCCCAAGGAGCCCCCCAGACTGGCCCAAGACGGCCGACGAGGCCGCCAAGAAGGCCCGGAGATGGCCCAAGAGGGCCCCAAGACTGTGCAAGAGGCCCCCACCGCCGCAAAGATTTTCGATTGGGCCACAATAGCGGCAATAGAGGCCCAAGAGGGCGAACTCGTAGGGGACCCGGGAGCCCTCCCTCACAAGATGGCCCCCGAGACGCCCAGCATGCGCCCATGAGCCCTGAAAGGGCCCCAGAGGGCCAACAAAACCGCCCGCAGGAGCCCCGGCAAGACTCCCAAGATACCGCCCCCGAGGCATTCAAGAGGCCCCCAAGAAGCGCCGCAACAAACGTGGAGGAAGAGAACAAACCAGCAACAACTACACAAAGGCAGCACAGCAGGGAGCGGCAAACCACACACACACACACAACACACACACACACACAACACACACACACACACCACACACAACACACACAATATCGGAAGCCACATATACCCTCTTCGGCAAATTTGCGTAAGCCTCTTGGTTAACACCTAACTGCAATTCGAACCACGCATCGGAAATCAAGTGATATGAGAGCCGAAAGCAGAACGAACTGTACATCAATCTTGAATCCGGATGCAACAGGCATGCAAACAATAAACCACCTTGCAATCGAACTGCACATCGGCATGCAACGATACATACATACATACATACATACATACATACATACATACATACCTACCTACCTACCTACCTACCTACATACATACATACATACATACATACATACATACATACATACATACGTACATGCATACCTACATACATACATACCTACCTACCTACATACATGCATACATACATACACACATACATACATACATACATACATACATACATACATACATACATACATACATACATACATACACATATACATACATACGTACGTACGTACGTACGTACGTACGTACATACATACATACATACATACATGCATGCATCCATACATGCATGCATACATACATGCATGCATGCATGCATACATACATACATGCCAAATCGCAGTACATGTACAAGCAAAAGTAAACTCCAAACGCAAGTTACTCAGCACGCCCTGAGAGAAACCAAGAAAACATGGGTGGCCCATGAGGCAGAAACAATCCTGCACAGTGACACGTCCCCGCGGGCACATCATGCAACCAAACCAACTCCGAGCCAACGAACTCCGTAGTCATGGCGGGTAGGCCTGTCCTCTTGCCTCGGGGCATCGGTCCGCGGACAGCTTCCACGGCACGAGGCCCAGGGCTCCAGAGGCAGCTAACTTCTTCCTGCTGGACTGAGCACCCGGATGCTCTGGTGAGAGGGGTAACAAGTCGACCATGAGGGCAGCCGCGGGACGCCTCCGCCGCCACAGCGGTGAAGCACAATGCGTCAAGGTCCCTCCCGAATCGTCGCCGTCGGATGAGGCACCACGTGCGAACGAGGAGCTCTGGGGTCCAGCAGGCCGCGAGGCCATCGCGAGGCGCCTCTGCCGCTCCACCCTGGAGGGCGAGGCCGTGCAGAAGGCCCACCTGCGGCGCCGTGGGCCGCGTGAGAGCCACCAGTTGGATGGGCAATACCACCCCGCAGAGAGGGCGGGCCTGTTTTCCACCGCCACCACCGTATCATAAGCAGGAGGGGGAGGGGGGGTCCGCCTCCTCCTCCTCCCTCTCCTCCTCTTCTTCCTCCTCTTCTTCCTCCACCTCCTTCCCTCCTCCAACTCATGGTGGTGGAAAACAGGCCCCTCAACAAAGCCCATCGTCAGCCGACAGAATGGGGTGGAGGCTTCACCTCTCCTAGGGGCGCCAAAGAGCAGCAGGCCTGCCCAGACACGTGCCTGCAGACCGAGCGAGGGCGGCGGCGATGCTGGATGTGGAGCTGAAGCATTGAAGATAGACTGGGGCGGAGCATTGGGCAACTTCCACACGAAGTGGTTGAGAGACAGGGGCAAGCGCAGAGTATGCCTTTACCAAGACGAACCGTGCTGTATCTAGCTGTCGCTTTTTTCTGGAGTGCGTCACGAGTATACCAGCGACAGGCCAACCCTGGCACGGAACTGAGAAATGCGAGAGCTGGCAGTGACGTGGCGTGCGCATCCCCCAGGGCCCCGCAGACCGAGCAGGGGGAGGGGAAGAAAATAACGAGTGGAACGTGAATATTTCTGCCACGCCCTGCCTCACGGGGAGGCGCAACAGAGTGCGAGGCGCGCGGTGTGGGGCGCACTGCAGTGTGTGAGGGAGGTCTGGCTGGAGGGCACACTACGCGCTGGCATGTGCAACATTACTGGCGTGTTTGGGGGGAGAACGTGACGGGACGAGAGACGAGAAATTGCCTTCAAGCAGGGCGCTTGCGGAAAACGCGGCGCTCCGCGGGGTCGAAGCCGCCAGCCTCGCTGTCGGCGAGAGCCCACTCCGGGGTCTCCACCGTGAAGTCCAGGACTTCCAGGGTTCTGCCAGCGACTGCGGCGTCGGCGAACCGATCAAAGTCGATCCACGTGCGCCAGCGACCAGTTGGCTCGAAGAACCGGTCGCGGCGAGCCAGGAGCACCGCGCAGCTGTGGGCGTGCTCGCAGGCAACCCCGTAGCCAGGGAGCGCCGACGCAAGCCGATCGGCAAACTCGCGCACGTCCTCGTGCGCCGGGATGGCTTCGCTGAACGAGAGCCCCGCCTTGCCCATCTGCTCGCTCCACGTGGCGCCCTTCACCTCTACGAAATCGCAGTCCGAGAGACCGATTAGCTCGGCGTAGCCCTCCTGCGACCCGAGCTCCATGTTCTGCCCCTTCAGCACCGTCAGGCGGCAGACGGTCCGCTGTTGTGGGCGCTTCTGGCGAAGCGCGGCCAGCGACCGACGCAAGCGCTGCCAATAGTCCCGAAATAGCGGTCGCCCAACAGCTTTCAGCTCCTCGGCGTTCGGCGCGTCAACGGAGACGTAGAGCTGCGTGATCCAGGGCAACTTCTCGTAGAAAGACAAAATACTACACATCCGCCATCGTGACCCCAAACAATGGGATTCTGCACTCTCGACTTGAAGTCGGCTTCATGCGTGCTGAAACCATGGAAGGCAGCCGTGCAAGATACGGCATAAGCTATTTAGTGCAAGCTACGTAAGTGAAGCCGTGTGGCGCAACCTGTGGGGCGCACCATATGGGGCGCCCAGTCGACCACGGATGCGACTGCTGATTGGCACTTGTCAGCGCACCTCTGCGGCCGCACTGGCGCGCGCCCGCCCCGCACTGCGAACAGCTGGCTTGGCAGAACTGATGCGGCCACGATGTCCCTTACGTGTGGGAACTTCCGAACGCGTCCCGAAGACCGCGCCGGCGCGTGGGCACTTCACTGCGGGTCGGTGGCACGGACACGAGCGGGCGCGAGATCACGATGACGCCGGCAACGGCGGCAACGAACATCACAGTAGCGGTGGTGGTGGCGATGGCGCCAACAAGGCCAAAAACTTCGCCGATGCTGGTGACGACGGCGGTGATGATATCGATGTGTCAATGATGGACGTGGATGTTGAGATGATGGCGGCACTGCCGCCGATTGATGACGATGACGATATCGGTAGTGATGCGATGGCGCTGATGAAGGTGATGAACAGTACGAACGCTTCAAGAAATACGTATCTATAGACAAATACGTGAAAAACTACGGCATACCTGCAGGTGAAACAGGATGCACTTGAACAAATGTAGGTTGAGTCGTTTCGAAACCCGATTGTGTTGGAAAGGTTTCGACACACGCGCGTAACTGCGCACGCTCGTGGCCGGCATGGTACGATTTGATACGGATTCGCGATGTGGGCGCAAGAGATCACCATTCGGACGCACCACGTGGTAAAATGGTGTTGGGCCGTACGGCTGTCCCATGGAAACGCCACACATGGCTGAATGTCAATGTGTGGGAACGCGTGCAACACGAACGTGGTGTGTACGATTTCGACATTGCAAGCGCATGTAGGTGTTGCTACATTGTTTCAGTGGGTTTCTTTCCACATGTTCTGACATACGCGGGTGCGCGGGCATGGTGGTGTTTAACGGGGAATTGGCTTCGAATGAGAAATGGACGATGAGGCAAAATCACATGCAAACTGCAAGAAGAATGACGAATAGGTGGACCGCTGACCCTAGGCGATGGACTGTGTTCAAGCCCACCTCTTCACTTGAGCGGAAAATAGAACGCGTGCGTTCTAATTCTTGCTCTCGGCATAGCACAAGATATACGGTTCAAGCTGCGCGCTGCATGCTCTATACGTAGTGATAGACCTACTCGGTGCAATCAATAGCGAGATATCGACTCCAATGCTCGCGCAAACACCCCACCCTCTCACCCGGAATTTGTTCCAGAAAGCCCGTTCGGCTACGACTGCAGCTAACGATTAAAACTTGTTAGCGCGCATCTGCGGCCGCATTGGCGCGCGCCCGCTCCCGCGCAGATCGGCCAGCTGATTGGGCACCAGTGCTGCGGCCGCGACGGCGTTTCAAATCAACACAAGAAGCCATACGCCCATTGGCGCGTGGGCGAGACAACGCCTTACCCTGTAAAGCGACGCAGAAAAAACGTAGCGCCCGACAGCGAAGCAGAAACATCAAGGCGGAGCACGAATGCGAAACAGAGAATGCACAAACCACGGGGCGTCACAGCGACACGGAGCGTCGCGGCATCATGGGGCTGCAGAACACTGTCACTGCGTCACGGGGCGTCTCGGGGCGTCGCGGCGTCCTGGGGTGTTTCGGGACGTCTACGCCGACGAACTCTGTGACGAAGCGGCACCATTATGGCTTGCAGGTAGCGGACTGGAGCAAACCAGAATTATGTCCAAAACGGTTTCGCAACTTGTTAAACAAGCACACTTCGCCCAGTCGTGCCGTCAGCACCCAAACTCACGTGCAATAGAACCACCGGTCGGTCTCATGCTGCCGGGGTGAGACATTATTTTCAAGGGCACGTTACTGTCGCGGCCAAGTTTCCCAAACCACATAAGTTGATGAAGAATAGTTGGGCACGGTAGAGTGTAGCCCCAGCTTACTGTAGCAGATGTTTGTTGGGCACCCTAGAGGGTATGCCTAAGGTAAACCAAAGAACCCATCCGATCGTCGTGTGTCGCTCTTGCTTCGCCATGCAGAGCTCCAGGGAAACATAACTTCACTCGGAATAATCAGCGCCCCGAAAACGTTCAGCTTTCGTTGCGCACGGAGGGGCGCGTGCTGTCAAGAGTTCGCGTAATTCTGAAACCCCCTCGCAAGAACCCCACATGATTTGACCAACCCTTGCTTGATAGTGCCGGAAGTTTACATCGCAGCCCCCAGGCATCTTTTTTGCCCACTAGCGCACTAACTGGAATGATGTTACCACGTGGGTCCCCCAGCTGGACGTCGCAGCCTGCGAGTCTCAGTGTAAATCATTCGAATGAAGCTTCATTCTCACGTCTGCTCCTACTTGTGCGATTGCGATCAGCATGTTTTGTAGCTGGCCTGCACGACGCCCAAGCCAAAAAATGTCGTCAATGTGCAGTGGGACAAACAATTCACCAGCAGCGAGTGCATGTGCACATTCCTCGTCCAACTTGTCTGCTGCATTGTGGATCACCACACTCATGGCCATCACAAGCAGGAGTGGCGATAAGGGACAGCCCTGTGCAATTCCCGATACTCGGTTTCTAATTCTCGATTTGTGCCGTCGCTCACTTAACCCAACAGTAGCGTTACCACTAGCTGATAATAACACAGCAAATTCATAGGGCGGTAATTGTCGCACTGGTCGATCGGGCATTTGCTTCCGCAGATGGCAATAACATCAGCATGTCTCTACTCTGCCAGAAAATGCTCCACAATGCGTTGATGAGTGAAGCAATCCGATTTGGGGGGTGCTCCCCAAAACCTTCCAAAACTCTGCCACTGCGTTTTCTGATCTGGAAGCTTTTCACCGCTTTAGTTTCGATAGTGCAAGCAGCAAGCCTTGGTCCGTGAAGCCAGTGTCGGTGATGGGTAGAGGGGCTCCCAGTGGCGCTAGGTCCAATACTGCCGCTGGCCCCTGTTTCGATTGCTCTTCCAGATGCTCGGTCGGTCATCGTGTCCGCCCTCTCTTCGCTATCAAACAACTCGCCTCGTAAATTCCAGAGCATGCCTTGTTTATGAAGCTCCCCTTGTATACGTTGTTCCAGGATGTCCAACCCCTCAATAGTCGATACGTTTGCCCACCCATTCCGTTTGAATGGTACGTTGACTTCCGCATTTCTTTCAACATTCTCTTCTCCTCCGCCGCATTTCCCGCAATATTACATGGCGCTTTGGGTCTATCAAATCTAGAAAGTTTTCTTTGACAACCCAGGCTGTCGCGCTATACTCTCCTGGTGCGGTAGCGTCTTGTTTGCACATTCCATGGCATGTTTTCAATATCCAAGATATCGTCACTTCTGTAAGAGTACGTCCGTGGAAAAATGCAATTCTGGCAATTCCGGCTCGATGTTCTGCACGAGTACGTCAATGAAAAAATCGTGGACCTCCTCGTCATCAAATGCTGCTGTAACCGACGTAAGGTAGTTCTGCCGCGTGTCAAAAGGCATCTCCAGCGTCATAGCGCCAGCGACCCGGACCCGATGGGAAACCAACGCTGCACCACGCCGGCTCCGAAGCGACCTGGTGAACTCTGCCGCACCCGGCGTGCACAAGAAGGCATGAAACATGCTGTGCGCCAGGATGTCGATCGGAGCCTGCGCGGTGATCCAGACATCCTTAAAAGAACTACTGTGTTCCAGTCTTTGTGATGTCAACATGTTTGCAATGGCCGTACCATTCCCAAAGCGTGGTTCGAACAGCGGATCCCTGTTTGGTCTTTCCACCTCGCACGCGGCTTCCCGCGCTCGGCCGTGCAATCCTATTACCCTCCTTCACCAGGACCTGCTCGGCCCACTCGTGCGTTCAAGTCGCCTAACACTAGTCTGCCGTAGTTCACATGGCAGGCGTGGCGTTCTTTATCAAGCGTGTTGGAAAATCGATGCGTTCGTCTGGCGGCAGCTGGTTGACGCGCAACTTTAAGACACACATCCTGTCGGAAACTTGTTTGTATGATTCGACATACCTTCGCAGGCGCGGTGCAATGACAAATCCAATGCCAGCCCTCATGTGGCCATCGCCATCTGCTCCTGATAGAACATTTTGAAGGTAGTGCTAGAAGCACACTTCTGCTGTGGGATTCCTGGCCTCGTGGATGCAGGTCCTGTCGATGGCATGGTTGGCCATGCGTTCTCTTAGCTCAGTTGTTTTGAAGTATGCAAGATCTTTGACGTTCCAATACCCTTTGGTCCACTGAGTGAAGAAGTCCAGCTTATAAAAGCTCGCGGAGATGGAGGCGAAGAGAAGACGAAAATGAGAGGTAACGCTGTAGCGGCGCACCCTACGTCTCCAATGTGCCGCTCGGCATTGGGATCTTGACCCATCATTGCTGGACCACTAGAAATAGATGCATGGTTTGGCTCGGGATCGGCGTCGTCGTCTATGGTGATGGCGCTCCTGTAGCGTTCTACACGAGGCGGGCCTGCGGCAAGTACACTGGCATTTTGCCCAGACCCTGAGATCCGACGTTGCAGAAAAATTGCAACATCGCAAACATTCACGACCGGATCCACGGACCCCATCTTCTGAGCAGGGACCGACCGTCCCGGCATTCCTACAGCCCTACCACGACATGTTCTCAGAACCAAAAAACATGTTCTAAGAACAAACACGGTGCTCTTAGAACATAAACCCGATGTGTGAAGACAAGACAATCTCAGCCAGAAATGGTCTAAGAACATTTCTGACTACCTACCAGACCACCCCAACCCAACCCGAAGGCCCGAATTTCGGGTTGGGGGGGGTTAGGGTTCCATATGTGTTTTTTCGACGTTCCCGGACCCCCCCCCACACTAGAAATCGAGGGTAAATCTGAGCCTTCGGGTTGGGTTGGGGTGGTTTGGTGGGTGGTGAATTTCGTGCAGACCACAAAAGGTTATTAGAACATTGCTTTGTGGGACTATAAGCGAGCCGGGACGCTTCGCCACTGCTCGAATCCTTCCGCGTCAGTCTTCGAGCCGGATCGATCTGTGAGGGCCCCGAGGCCCGAAGCGGAGCGAAGACGCCGGGCTCGGAAACACGGAGTCGCCAGGATCTCAAGGGGAGCCCACCCTCCACAACTTGGCGTGCAGCGTTTCTGCCTTGGCACTGGCACTGGCGGCAGCAGAGCCTGTATATCGGCGGTGGACAGACCTCCCTGCGTTGCACCACCCTTCAATGAAAACGGCCCAAGATCGAAACCGACCGACCTGGACCCGCAAAAGCGACGGCCGCGACGCCCTCTCGCCAACCGAAGACGGCCAGTTCGCGAATCGACGTGACAGGGTAGGAGGTCCACCAGCCTCCGAGCACAGAGGTACGGCTCGCCAGTGCGTGCTCCTGGCCGTGCTTGGGCCCCTGCTCCGCTCCTCTCACGCTCTGCCCGGCCCGTTTCCCACGGGTCTCAAGCAGCGCGCCGGCGCGCAGGCACTCCAGCGCGGGTCGGCAACTCGGGCGGGCGCGGCACCAGGACGACGTGGCTAACCGCGACGACGTCGACGATGACGACGATGACGGCGGCAGCGAGGATCCCGACGATGGTGGTGATGATGGTGATGACGATGCTGATGCTGATGATGTCGACGATGGCAGTGGTGGCGCTGACGACGATGACAACGATTGCGTCGAAGAAAGGATGATGAGAAACTGCGCGCCACAAGGGACTCAGGCATGCTGCCATGATCTCGACACGCACGCGGAAATGTTCGCATATGGTCCCTTCTGGATTTATCCTACAGAGTTGGTAGGCGCGTGATGATGGTTGAAGAGCGCGCGAGCGCGCGAGCAGGCAGGATGTCCTCATTGGACACTCTGCCAGCGCGAGCGCGCGCACGCAGAATTCAGACAACTTGTTTCCTGAAGAATGGCGTTTGACAGTTTTCGACTAGCCTTGTCTTAAGATTTTAAAACATGATAAATAATTGATGGGAGCGCGCGGCGGCGAACGCGTGTGAACTTTGTTGTACAATTCTGGTGTAGCCTGCTGCAAAATAAACTTGAAATATGTACTTCAGATAGCGGAGACTGCGAATTGAACTATTCCACGGTGATGACGGGGAGAGACGAGACTGGCCGCCCTGACATGGCTTCGATCCGTAGGAAACGTGAACGACGAGGCAGAATCGTATGCAGTTGCCTGGCGACCAGGGGGGATTGGTTCACCACGGGGGCTGAGGGGGTGGCAGAGCCTCTTCGATCTCTGCCAGGACAACCGACGGGTGCATCCCGATGCGGCCGATGATGCGGCCACGGGCGCGCACGCACGGAACGAACACCCAGGAACGCCAGCCAGCGCACGGAATCCCAGAGATCCGAGGTCGTGTTTTTTTCCACACGGGCTCCCTGGAAGTCCCGACCCGCTCCCCACGGCCCGCCTCTCCTCCCGAGTCGTTCTTTGACGGTCCCCAGGGCCCAGCGAGGGCCTCTTCAGAGGCCGACGGGGGCGCAAGCCTCCGTCTTGAGCTTTTCGATGCGTCGGATCTCTGCGTTTCTGTTGGTCAGCCACGCAGTGCTTGCTCCGGGAAGGAGGAAGAGGAAGAAGAGGAGGAGGAGGAGGAGGAGGAGGAGGAGGAGGAGGAGGAGGAGGGAGGGGGAGGGGGGGAGGGGGGAGGAGGAGGAGCGATCAGGAGCGATCAGATGAAAGGACAGCGTACGTCCACAAACGGCCACCGGAGACCTGGCCCGCTTGAGGGTTAAAACTGAGGCCTCAGTTTTAACCCTCGGAAGTGGCAACTTGAGCCACTCCCTCGGGGGGTGGAACGCGACCACTCGTCGACGTCGTCTGGGTCGTTCCACCCCCCCTTGCACCGAGGCCAACAAGTCCTTGTGACTCCGCCTCTCTCACCGCTCTTGGCGGCCCCGACGGGTGCGGATACCGCCCCGACCTGATGGCCGCCAGATTCTGACGGCCCTTGGCCGTTGGATTACAACGCAAGACCAACCATCTCGGGTCGGTGGTGCACGACTTGCCGCAAGTCGTGCAGAAAACCAAATTATATTTAGCCCATTTCTGCAGAGTGTGCGACCCATGGAGCTCTCTACCCGACACCCGAAAGCCAGCACGAACGGGGGAGAAGTCGGGCGTCTGCTCGGGCCTGCAACGGGAGGCACACATTTGGAAAATCGAATCCTGATTCGAGAACAAATTGCAACGCCTACATATATACTTCGTCCCTGCACGGGACCACGAATGCTCTGAGTCACGCAGGGCACAGGCAAGCTTAGGTAACGGGGCCCCCCCCTCGATTCCAGGGCGCTCGCAGGTCCAGGGATCGGCTTGGATGCTCGCTGCCAGGGCTCTCCGCGCCCTCCGACGGACCAGGGCGGCCTCGGAGTCCCGAACATCGGTCTGGGGGGGGGGCGAAATCACGAATTCAGTCCAGCTAAGCTCGGCAGCTTCGCTGGCCAAGGCGTCTGCGCATTCATTCCCGAAGGCGTAAAACAACTGCGTACGCGAGAGTCCTCCTATCTCCTCTTGGTGGGAGGGGACCCATACAATTTCTATTCGGCCAGGCCCACGATCACGCTTGGCGGCCTGGATCCTGGCCCAAAGGTCTATATTCACCCCGCTGCTCGGCGGCTCAGACCCACAGCCTTTGGTCCAGGAGTCCAGGAGGGGGCGATGGTCAGTAACGAAACGGACGTCGCCATCGCTGGATTCAAGGGCTTCGGCGAAGGCGGTTATCTCAGCGCGCGGCACGGTCTGTCTTCGGCCCTCGATGCTGCAGCCCAGACCCCAGACGGCACGCCAGACAGCCCCTTCGGGGGCGAGACCGATCAGACCCGAGCCGACCCTTCGACGCCGAGGGTCGTCCGAGAACCTCCCACCCGACCCGTCCCCAAACAAGGTCACAAAACCTTCGGCGTCTCTGGGAACGGCTGCAAGGGTGCCAAACGAAATTCGGATGAGAGGCTTATCCGCGAAGGTCGGGACCGTTTCGGCCCGACCAGGGACCCCGCGGAGCCAAAAACTCGGGCAGCTTTCATGGTTCACCCGGGCTTTCTCGGCCAAATCCTGGCTCTTCTCGAAATCTTCATGGCCAACATTGGCCTCGCAGGCCCACACTCGGTGGTACAAATCCTCGGGGGCTTTGGAACAGCGGGGGCAGAGGCCATCAATACGGTAGCCTGCCGCGCGCAAGCGCTCACGAGTCCACTGGGCGCCCGTGACGACCACCACGTCCAACGCCCAGTCGTCGCCCTCGAGGTCTGGCTTGAGGCGGCTGAGCTCCCTGGAGACGTGGTACATGTCCGCGCCCTCCGAGAGGTCCGAGGCAGCTTCGTGGAGGGCCGCCGCACGCCACAACTGTCTGTCAATCGTGGCCTCAATGTCATCAAGGATGTCCGTGAAGTCTCCGTGAAAGTTGTCAAACTCTGGGGGCGCCACAGACGGGATGTGCCACTCGAACTGCTCATCCGAAGACCACGCCATCGGGCTGACGGGGTCCCAACCAATGTCGAGCAAGGTTGAAATCGCAGCTGCAATGGGGCCCTTCGAAACTCTCCATCTTCGCGAACCCGCTAATCGTAGGCGGCTACGGATGCTATCCCACGATCTCGCAATACGTGTGTGATATTCTGGGTACTCTCGCCATAATCGCAGCCATGCCAGGACCTGCTCACGTCGAAGTGCCTTCGCTGGGTCTCGTCGGTCAAAGGCGGCGGCAAGCGACGTGGTCAAACATCGGCCAGGCCCCGTGCCGACGGCACTCTGGGCGGCCTGGCGGCGGATCTGCACCAGCTCGTAGCCAGGGATCCCGAACGTCTGGTGCGTGTAGGTGCCCTGCGGCTTGGACCCCATGCTCCAGAGGCCCTTGGTGATGCCGCGGAGGCTGGCGTGGCGCCTCATCCTCATGATGGCGGAGGTGCGCTTC